AGGAGGAGCAAGAGGAGGAGGGGGGAACTAGGTCACCAACAGTCCTCTGCCTACCAGGGATAGGCTGAGTTTTTTCTCTCCCTAGCACAATGTTCCTGCTGCCTGAGCCTCTTTTTTCCTAATCTCTCTTAGCCTTCCAGACAGATGGGTCTCTATGTCCTTCTTCCCTTGTATTAATGTCCTTACGGGGTAACTGTCCTGTTAGCTCACTGTCCTTGCCTGGTCAGATTGGAGAGCACAGGAAAGGACACAAGAAAGAAACAGAAAGGAAAAGGTAGGATGGGGCCTTCCAAGAAGAGAAAAAAGAAAAGCAAAGAAGGCAGGCGCTCTTTGGGTTATGAGGAGGGAAGAGAGGTGGGTGAGCTGAGAGAAGCACCCCTATTCTGTGCCCAGGCTGGAAAGGGGCATAAACAGGGCCTCCATTGTGTGGGCACAAAGGGACCATATGCCTGGCAGTCTATAGCTGCGTGCGTGCGTGCGTGTGTGTATGCGTGCGTGCGTGCGTGTGTGTATGCGTGTGTGTGTCTGTGTGTGTGCAGAGAGGAGTGACTTAGAGATCCTATTCTGAAGCTCCTGGGGCTGCCTACCCTGTCACTGAGTTGAGGCTTCCTGAGATAGAGAGCAGAGGAGCAATTAGAGCAGACAGGACTGGAAGGTCAGAGCCTGTGGTCACCAGGGCATGCATAGCTGGAAGAGACCATGGCAGTGGACTGAGCTACAAGAGGAAGAAAGGGATGAGCTATCAGAGTATCACTCACCTGGGTCCCCAAACCCCACCCACCCCCTACCCCCCCCCCACACCCTGCTGGCCCTGGAGCTGGGTTTTGCTTTTTTATTTTGTTTTGGTTTTGTTTTGTAATTTTGTTTTGTTTTGTAATTTGGTTTATTTTTTGTTTGTTTTTTTTTCGTTTTGTTTTGTTTTTGTTTTTGTTTTGTTTTGTTTTGTTTTGTTTTGTTTTTTTGAGATAAGGTCTTGCTATGTAACCCCTGACTGACCTGGAATTCCCTAAATAACAGATTAACCTTGAACTTGTGGAATCTTCCTACCTCTGCCTCTGCCTTTGCTACCCTGGTGCTTTAATTACAAGCACGAGTCACCACACCCAGCTTTGGAGCTGGATTTTGGAGCAGTGTAAATGAGGCTCAAAGAACCATGTTCTACCCCTTTCCTCCCTCTTCTGCCTCTTAACTCCAAAGCTCCCGCCTTCCCCTCAGCCCAGGAACTACCCTCTCCCTTACAGCTCCACTCTGTCCGCTCCAGTTCCCTTCCCCCTCTCACTCTCCTTCCCTGTCCTGTGGAGCAGAGCGGCAGCCGAGGCCAATTGATTATCTGAAGAAATTCTGAGCCTGCAGTAGAACAGCTGCAGCTGCCCTCTCTCACCACCCTCCAGCCCTGAGGGACCCCAGAAGGGAGGGGCCCCTAACCCCTCCGCTTTCCAACCCTGGAGGGAGGGATGTGGCCCCCAGCACAGAAGCATGGAGCCTGGGACTTGGGTTGTAATCCCAGTTGGCCATCATAGTGAGTCCTATCTCCTCTCTGGACAAGCATTGACCTGCCTTAAAAAAAAAAAAAAAAGTGTTCTCAGGCATGGTGGCACACACCTGAAATTCCAGGTTTCTAGAAGCAGAATTAGGGGGCTGGCAAGTTAAAAGCCAGCCTGAGCTATATAATGTGACTCTGACTCTAAAGAAACAAATAAATAAATGGTGTTAGCCATGTACAATGATATACCCCTTGTAGTTCAACCACTGGAGAGGCTGAGGCAGGAGGATGGATGGCAAGTCAGAATTCCTCCCCAACTCCAATTCAAACCCCTCTTGCTGATATCATTCTGTACTCATCAAAGATGAAACCCCTTCAAGGAGTGGGTGTCTCAGCACTCCCCTCTCACTGTTTTTGCCCTCAGCCTTCTCATATGATCTTAAGTTTGGATCTTCCAGGGTCCCTAGGCAGTGTTCCACCAGAGGTAGTAATGAGCGCTGTGTCTCTGGGTGGGCTAGCTTCTCCGGGCCCTTTCTGCTTCCATTCCTCTTTGTTGTGACAGGTGCTTTTGAGGCTGGACAACTCCAGGTGCTAGGAAGTTGGGGCTGGGAAGTTTTTCTTAGAATTAAAGTCTGTTTTCCTATAGCCTTCACTCTCTGACCACAATTCTACCTTCTGGGGCCACACAAAATTCCCACTTAAGTTTCTTCTTTCAGTATTTGAAGGTGGGGATCGCTTTACCTCTAAATCAACTCTTTCTTTCTGGGACACGGTCTTATGTAGCCTGGGCTGGCCTTATCTGTAGCTGAGGATGGCCATGAACTTCTGATCCACCTGCCTCCAGTTGAGAGTAGAGGTATGTACCACAATGACCCCTTCTATGCAATGCCAGGGATCAAACCCAAGGTTTCATGTAAGCTAGGTACACATTCTACCAACTGAGCTGTAGCTCCAACTCCTAAACCTACTCTTATCAAGAAAATACCCTCAGCCCAGTGATGGAGCACTTGCCTAGAATGTGAGGCCCTTGGTCCAATCCCTAGTACCAAACAAAACAAAATAAAACCCCAAAATATATCCTCTATTTTCCTTGTGAAATGGACTCTAGGCAATTTGCCTTCTTGACCACATAGCTCTCCATTTTATCAATGTCATAGGGGATCCAAAAGACTACCACCTAACAAGTTGGTCTATTTTAGAAGGTATCAGAGGCATCACCTATCAAGTTGGGTTAGTTTAGAAGGTATCAGAGGCATCCAGATACAAAAAGCTGAATTTAAGCCAGGCATGATGGTGTACCCCTATAATTCCAGCACTTGGGAGGTACAGGCAGAGCAATCTCAAGTTTGAGGTCATTTTTAGCTATCTATCAAATTTGAGGCCAGCCTTAGCTACATGAGAACCTGTCTCAAATCCACCCTACTCTCCAAAAATAAGTTGAATCTGAGTCTTATCTGTGTCTTCAATTGGCTGTGTGACCTTTGGCAAGATGCTCCCTGACTTTGGGCTTTATTTCAGTGTGATTATAAATTGATTCCAGGATTCTTTTCAGAATCCCTTTGCATGTCTGTTCAGCACTTTTTCCTCACTTTGATGTTTTCAGACAGGAGCTCACTGTGTAGTCCAGGTTAGCCTTGAACTTGTGATCCCTGCCTCAGCTTCTCTGTCCCAGTCTACTTGGCATTCTTTTTTTAAATCCCTTTCTTCATTCTGTTTTCAGTACCAAGTCCTCCTTTGTGTTTCCCCCAATATCTAATGCTGGAGAACACAGAACAGACCAAGAGCTGAGATCTCAAGAAATTTTTTACCTAGCCTGGAGATAATAAAGGAGAACACAATGCCTCAGCCTTGTGCCATGTCTTTCCCCAGCAGCTTGGGCTTACAGACACCTGCTTGAGTTCCATTGGGACACTCAGCTTCTCAGGAATATAGAGAGTGCAGCTGAAAGTTAGAAAGTGTATGTCAGTGAATGTTAAGATGGGGACACAAGGGATTTCCAGTGAGAAGATCTGGAGCCCATGTACGACCTCTTTACCCTGGGTCCCCTCTTCTCTGTCTTCATTTAATCACCACATGAAGCTTTTATAACTCCCCCCACACACATACACACACTCAGAAGAGACTTCAAAGCCTATGACTCTCGATGCTCACCCTACCATAACCTGCAGGCCAGCTTCCCAACACAATCAAAGAAGCCACAGCCATATCTGGTACTAGAACGAGGTCACTTTAATTTTTCTTTTTGTATGAAATTAGAAATGCAGCCAGAGAGACTCACACATGGGACATGAGACACAGGCCTTGGGGGCCTGTTCTCAGTGGTCTTGGAAAATGCAAGGCTGGTGAAAGGAATAAAGTGGGATTGTCAGAGGATGAATGGAGTTGAGGAAGGACGTCCAGGAGCTGGGAGGCTGGAGGAGGGGAACTATTCCAGAGGAAAGGGGATGGGGACAGATGGAGCTGAGGAAGGGATACAGATATGGTGAGCAAAGGGATCCCCACACATACCTTCATTGGAGAAGGAGCAAGAAAAGGAAAGGAGTAACCAGGGAGAAAGCAAGAGGGTCCCAGCTGAGAGCCCAACTCACTCTACCCCAAAGTGCACAACTCGGCAATAAATAGCAATATTTATAAATAAATAGACAAATAAATAAATAAATATGTAAATAAATATCCTCATAGAACTAAAGTTTGGTGTGAGGGTGGATGGAGTACAGAAATGCAATGAGTTCATTTCTTCTACAGGGATTCTAAGGCCCTTCAATCTCATGCTGAGTGGGCTACAGAGGGCAGGTGGGGCTCAGAAGTGTGGGTAGAGCACCTCCTTGTCCATGGCAGCTTAAGAAAGAAAGAGGGAATGTAATAAATAGGCTCTAGGGCATTCACAGAGGGTAGTATCAGGGATTCCCCCACCCCCAACCCTGCATCTAAGGGAGGAGCCAATGTGCTGTGCATGTTTTCAGAGTCTGCAGGAATGGAAGCAGCAGTTGCCAGGGCTGCCCAGCTCACAGCCTGGGCCTTCCCTTTTACAAGATGCCCTAGGCTGTTTGGAGAAGTCGCCCTTGTCCAGGGACCCAGGTTTTCCTTTTTCTAGCGGCACTCAGAGAGGGAGAAAGCTGGAATGGTAGAGGTGAGAGAGGACAGGGAGGTAGCCCAACAGCTCCAAGAGGGCAAGGCACTCACTACCAAGTAAGGTCTGAGGTCTGTATGTGCTAAGCCTCAGGAACAAGATGGACAGAAGAAAGGCAGAATTTTTCTATAATTTCTGACTACCCAGGAGACATCTTATTTGCCTCCCAAGAACCCAACCCTCTCCCCAGACACCTATAGACAAGTCTGGGAGTGGGGAGCCCACTCCTCACTCTACCACCAGCCTCTTCCCCTTTGAGTTTCAATGCTGGCAGAAGACAGACCGGAAGGGAGAGTCTGGGTCTGGGGCGGGGGGTGGCTAAAAATTTGGACATAACAGTAGAAGAGGCAGCAGCTAAGTAGAGAGCTAGGCTTAGTAAAGCCCACAAGAACTCGACTCTGACCTCTCTGGCAAGCAATTCTGACCAGTTAATCCCTGACAATCCTCTGAAGGAACCCATGAGCACATCCGTCAGGGTGTCTTGGCCAGTAAAAAGAAAATGGCCTTTAGGACCAGCGGTGGGCACGCGGTGTGGGCCCGGTCCTCTGGGATGGGGAGGAGACGGCCATTCTAAGTAATGCATGATGACAGGGGGCTCTGGAGAGATCCCGGGAGCAGGGGAGAATCCAGGGCAAGGAAGCCGGCTGAATTCAGACGTCCAGCACATGGTTCAGGTAAGAGATGTAGCAGATGGCCAGACGCAGGATCTCAATCTTGGAGAGCTTTTTGTCCGGGGGTAGCGTGGGCAGCAGCTTGCGCAGCTCGGCGAATGCCAGGTTGAAGGCTTCCACGCGGATGCGCTCCCGCGTGGCGTGTGCAGTGCGGTACTTGGCCGTGGCGCGGCGCCGGCGCCTGCGCTCCTCGCGGCTCAAGTGCTGCAGGTCTTTGCGGCCCGGGTCTCCGAGCTCTGAGCTCCGGGCCTGGCCCACTCCCGGATCTGCAGACCCAGCACCATCAGGACCCACCCCGCCCCCACAGTCGCTAAATCCCGACTCGGTCTCCGAGTGGGTCGGTGGCAGGTCCAGCTCCATGGTGTCGGAGTTGAGCATCATGATGGATGAAGCTCCCTGCCCAGTGAGATCCGGATCCCCTCCCCACCCCTCCCTCTCGGAGCTTGAAAGCGGGTTGTGGGAGGGGCAGGAAGGGCGTGGGATGCTGGGGTCTGCCACTGAGGTCTGGAAAAACGGAATCACTTCAAGGTTCCATGGTCAGGGTTGCAGCCTGGAACCTGAAAAAGAGAAAGGAGAATTGACGGAGGAAGGCGTGGACAGCGCAGAGCGGAGGCAGAGCCGAGAAGTGGTAGGGAGCTGAGAGTGGAGAGTGACCCCGCGCGGGGTCAGCGCTGGCCAAGGCTAGAGAGAGCAGCAGGTAGACCTGGTGGAAAGGAGTGGGAGGAAAAGAGAGGGGAAAACCCCAGAAAGTACTAGGAAGGGAGGAATGACCGAAGGACAGAGCAGACAGGCAGACAAGAGGATTAAAGACCTAAAACTACTGAAGTGCTTCAAGACCTTAGGCGATGATTTCTTGGATATGTTAACAGAAGTATAAGCAACAAAAACGAAAGAAGAAAACTAAGACCAATGGAACCACACCAGACTTGACTTTAGTGCACTAAGGGGAGCAGTCAGCACAGGGAAAATTCAACCTATGAAACGAGAAAATACTCACAAATCACATATCTGGTGAGAGGTTAATATCCAGAAGATACACAGAAGTGCTTCCTAGCTGGCTGTGGTGGTGCATGCCTGTGCAATCGCAGCACTCAGGAAGCTGAGCAGGAGAATTGTGAATTTGAGACCATCTAAATACATAGTGCCAGCTAGTCTCAAAAAAGTCCTGAACAACATGAATATCAAAAAGCCTAATTTTAAAATGTGCAAAGGAGTGGGGTGTAGTGAGAGAGTTCCAGGCCAGCCAGTGCTACATAGTAAGACCCTGTCTCAAAAAAAAAAAAGCTCAACAAAAATAAAAAAAAAAATAAAATGGGCAAAGGACTTGAATGACATTTCTCCAAAGATGATATGCAAATGGCCAACAAGCATATGAGAATACAACGAACCTCACTGATTGCTAGAAATGGAAATCAAAACCACGACAAGGTGTCACCTCACAACCATTAGAGACAGCTACTATAAAAACAAAAATTGAACAGACAGAAAACAAAATCAGTGTTGGCAAGAATGTGGAGAAATGGGAACACTTGTGCCCTGTTTGTGAGATTGTAAAGTGATACAACTGCTGTGGAAAACACAGATATCCCCAAAAAAACTAAAATTGGAACTACTATCTAATCCCATTCAAGCTCTCCCATCTCCAGACATATATTCAAATAGAATCTCAAAGAGATATTTGCACACCCATGTTCATAGCAGTGGTAGAAACCACTCAAATATTCACCAATGGAGGAATGGATAAAGAATATAAAATGGTGTATAAGCAGAATATTAGCCTTCAATAGAAAGGAATTCCTACCATGCTACAGCACAGACTAAACCTTAAGATTATAATAAGTGAAGTATGCAGTCACAAAAAGACAAATAATATGACTCCATTCACTTAAGTAGCTAAAGTAGTCTAATTCATAGAAACAGCAACAGAATGACGGTTGCCAGGAGCTGGTAGGAGGGGCAAAAGAGGGCTTGTTGTTTAATGAGAGTAGAATTTCACATTTGCAAGATGAAAAAGTTCCAGAGATCACTTTCACATAATGTGAATATTCTTAACACTATCAAGCTCTACTCTTAAGTGTGTTATGATAGCAAATTTTGTTATGTGTTTTCAGCATAATAAATAGCTAAGGGAGACAGGCAGAGCAAGATCAGAGCAACAGCCCCAGGGGAAGGTGGCTTTGACTCTAGCCCTTTCCCAGTTGTGAGGGGGGAATTGTAAGCCTTGCTTTTGGGATCCTCTGCATCCTTATTTCTTGGTGGGGGGCGGGGGGCACAGAGATTGGCCATTGTTGAATAAAGTGGGACATACGGACCTTGGCACAGGTGCCCTAGTTCAGTCCCTCAGAGTCCCTCAAATTTCCTCAACACAACCACTGTAGACATTAGGTCCTACCTCCCTGTCCATTAGAAGCAAGGAAAGATACTTCTTACTGCAATCCTCCCACTCAAGACCTCCAGATCCTCCAGCTCTGTCTGTCCTTAACACTTTCAGCCCTCTCTATTCTCTGGCCCTTTTGGAGATTCTTTAAGGAAGATTGTAGAAACTCACCCAAGGCAGGGCCTACAGAGGAGGGCACAGATAGTTTCTTGGAGCTATGCTTATAGGGCTTAGCTAAGTTTGCTTGTCCCAGAAACAGTGGGCCTTTCACAGTGCGTGAGCTCAGCCTTAATAGAAACAGAAACACTGAGGCTCCTCCCAGTTACTATCCCCCTTTATCCCTAGCCCTGGCTCTCCTACCTTACTGACACTCTCATATAGTCCACCCTTGGCCCCAACCTTGCCCCACCCCACCACACAGAAGATAGATTTGAGACAAAAAGACAAGCAGTTACTAAATTCTAGGGGCATGCAAGATCACCAGCATGTGATAGTGGGGAAGACAACTACACACCAATCAAGACCTAAAACAGAAGGTGGCTAATGCTGAAATTATGAATATTCTCCATATTCTGGGGCCCAAAGGAAGACGAAGGGACAGCAACAGTGTGGTACAGTTGGGGAGAATTTCCCAGTTTATGCTTAGGGCCCCTGTTTCCCCACTCCCAGGGTGGGCTGGAACCAAGAGTTCAGCCTTGGGGTACCCAGCACATCTAGCACAACCCCAATTCCCTCTCCGCCCGGTCCCCATGTCCCTCATCCATCCTGGGTTACTGGCTCATGCTCTCCCTTTCCCTCTCTTGCTCCCCATCTGTCACAGCCCATCTCCACCTGCTCACCCCCTTTCTCTCCACTTCCACTCACAGCAGCAGCTTCTATTTTCCCATCAAGTCCTTCCCTGATTTCTAGTTTCAAAGTCCCAGGCTCCAAGGAGCAGGGGAGCAGCAATTCCAAGCGTCTAAGAGGAATTCTCACCCTCCTTCCACCAGCCACGGGAGACTGAAGTTAGATAGGTACAAAGAGGCAAACAGAAGTAGGAAAGAGGAAAAGGCAGCGATGGTAAGACACCCAGTGCTAGGAGAAGGCTCTGGGAGAGGCTCAAGCCGGAGACTGAGAGGGACATGCCCACCCTTCCCCAGCCCATGGTTTCCCCTTTACCTAGGAGGACTCTGCCAAGGAATCCAAGCTGGTAGGAGAAGGGGGGAGCGTAGACAGCCCCAGTCTCTTCTGGCTGCTCAAGACTCATCCGTCTGCAAAGTTAGTGACCAGCTTTTTAGAGCTCTCGGGGGCAGCATGGCATGACTGAACAAGCTCCAGGACAGGTAAGAGGGGTACACATGGTGGAAATGTAGGGTCCAGGTGGAAGGAGTGGGCTTGGCCAGGTACTGGACCCACGCACACTCACACATACACTCACACTCACAGATGCATACACACCTGAGCTGGCCCAGCCCTATGTGTATATATATGGAGATACACACACACCCCCAGCTCTCCATTGGCTGGCCCAAGCACCCCCCCCTCATCAATATTAAACAGCAAGGCCAGGCAGCCATTGGCAGAGGGTTCTGGGAACCCCTTGGGAGCTGGGGGTGGGGGCTGGCCCTGGGGGGGGCAGGGAGTGGGGGAGCAGGGACATCTGTTCTCCATGCATATTTCATAAGCAAGAAATGGAGAGCTGGGGAAGGGGTGGGGCTGGGGCGAGAGCCAGGGCAGGACCACAGATGAACCCCCTGTTCTCCCACACCAGAGGCAGCAGGGCAGAGACTCCCAGCAGTCTGGGTTTAAGTGTCATAGTTCCATTCTGAGTCCCAGAGCGACTTTGATTGCCCCTTCTCCATGTATTCCTTTGCCTGGAAGAAGATTCTCCAAAGTACTAACCAGGAAGCCATGAAAAGAGTGAATGACCAGCACTAAAATGCAGACGAGCACCCGATATCTCACCCTAACTGATCTCTTGCCCCTCACACAGCTAGTACCCACAGCTTGAGAGGCTGCTTCTCATTACTGTTCAGGACCTAGCCTTTGTCATCCTGAGACTCAGTTACCCTGACGCTCTCTCTTCCAGCCCCCATCCTCCTACCTACCCCATCACCAGGCCAGGAGTGGGGTCAGATTCCAGACTGGCCAGCCCAACTTGATCCATGGGAAATTAAAGGCTCCTTAAAACCAAAGAGGTAAAGGATAACAGGAAAGGAAAGAGGAGTTCCAAGAGAGGAAGAGGCAGGGTTAGAAGGACATTAGGAGAGGCCAGGGCAGCTCAGGCAGCTTTGAGTGTGCAGGGCATCAAATGAGCAACAAGAAAAGTAGATACAAAATTATGTGCAAATGAGCACTGATTAAGTTTACATCAATAGCTCAGCCGCCTCCAGGGTGTGTGCCTGTGCATGTGTGTGTCTGTGTCTGTGTGGGTGTGTTGTAGGGTGGCATGAGAGGGGAGCGCAACTCTGGGACTAAGGGAAGCACAGAGAAGCCGTGGGCTGGGTTTCAGCATGGAAATTCTCTCTTGTACTCAGCTGTCAAATGTCTTCATTGAACCTCAGTGAGTATCAGAAATGAACCATCACTGGAACCGATTCCAGATATGGTAAGGTACAGTGAAAAGGGCTCTGTTAGCTGTGTGACCTTGGGCAAGTAACAACTTCTTGAGCCTCAATGTCTTTTTCTGTAAAATGGGGTAAATTATAGCTTCTTAGGTTGCCATGGAGATCAAGTGTGCTAATGCTTGTAATAAGCCTAGACCTTACACAGGCTGTGGGAGGGATTTACCACTTCCCCGTGACTTCTCAACCTTTTCTGGGCTTTCTCTAGGGTGAAGTGTTCTCTATAGGGAATCCCATAATTCCTCCCCAAGCACACCATCCTCTCCCCACCCCCTGGTCTGGGAGGTGCCAACTCCCACCTGGGCAGGCCCAGACAGGTGCCCAGGCGCCAGCAGATGGGCTGAGCTGGAGGGGAAAGGAGGCCTGAGGAGGGGATGGGGGGGGCAGGGGATCAGGTGGCAGCTCAGTTCTTGCATCATCATTGCCATGGTGCTGATTAAAAACCAATCTCCACCTAATGAGCCCCCAGCAACAACAATTCTACTCCCCCTACCCTCTTGCCCTCCAACCCATCCAAGAAATTGGGAGACTGGGACTCAGGAGAGAGTGCCATCAGGGAGATGACAGATACAGAAAGAGTGGAAGATGGGGAAAAGATAAGGGGAAGCAGAGGACAATGATGAGGGAGGCAAGAGGAGATGCTGAGAACCAGGGGGAGGGGAAAAAAAGATAAGAAGCCAGAGTCACTGGGTAGCAGACATTGGGGTGACACAGAGAAATGGGAAGGTGTAGTCACAGGGAGACAGAGAGGTAGAAAGGGAAGATGGGGCAAAATTGCCAGGTTGCCACATCTTTGCAGAAGACAGCAATGCAAGAGGGAGACAGAGATTTGGAGAGAGACCTGACAAGAAGAGACTGCTAGGGAGACACAAGCATGGAACAGGCAGCTACTCAGACACAGAAAACTGAGAAAATCTGAGGGAATCCCTAAGATAGACCAGAGATGTAGACATGGAGGAAACAGAGAGCAGACATTTGTCAGGAGCATAAAAACAATGGGAGACAAGCTGGGGAAACACAATAATTAAGTACGGAGGTGTTGTCAAAATGGCGTACCCAGATCCTGAAGGGTAAGGTGTTGAGGAACACATAAACAGAAACTTGAGAGACTATGAAGCAGAGAGGAACTAAGTGTGTGGGAAGTGCAGACCAACACTGGAGGAGGGAGCCCGTTACCAGCCTCCATTGAAGGCTGTTTAGATCAGATACCTGCAGCCTCCAAACCTGAAGCACCCAACCCTAGCTGTCCCTTATACTCTGGAGGCCCCTCATCCTCTGCGTCTGTCATCCCAAGAACTTGGGCTTGGGGGCTACCCAGCCCCAGACCTCACTCAGGAATTTGCCTCTTAGGGCAGTAGCTGAAAAGAACACACCCAGGTAATTAAGAGGAGCTAACATCATAGAATGACAGAAAGCACTATATCTACCAAACCCGGGGTCAGTTAGACCTGGATCCATGTGCTCATGACCTTGGACAAGTCACATAACTTTTACTGAATTATTTTTTGCCATCTATAACATGGGTATAATGTTGCCTTCTCCACAGGGCTGTTGTGACAGTGAAATAGTTGGTGAGAGACTGATGGGTGAACTGTAAAGTGCTCAAGTATCTACATCTGCATAGTGATTTAAGGGGGCAAGAAGTTTCATCCACCCATATATGGGAGGCAGTATGACAGAGAAGCTGAGGCCCTAAGCCCTGGGAGCTGGGGGTGGGGGTGGGGGGGATGGTATCTTCCCTGCAAGGAAGACAGGAGGAGCAGGCCTTTGGGATGGGATGATTGGCTTATTTTGCATTTTATAGGCATTCACTTTTTCAGATTGTGGTTCACAAATTTCTATCCTCAGGCAGCCTGTGAGGTTTTGAGGGGAGGGAAGTTGGAAGGTGGGGAAGACACAGGGGCTGGGGGCCAGTCCTTGAGGGTGGGGGAGGGTCTGGAGGAGCTGAGAAGCAGTGGGTTTGGCAGGAGAGGGGGTGACATATGTGGGGAGCCCTGGGGACCCAACCAGGCAAGCGGCTGGCAGGAAGAACAGACAGCGTTAACCCTCGCTGTGCCACACTGCCTGACCCTTCCTAGGAGTGGCCCTGGCTGAGATGTTATTTTGTCGTAAGATACTAGAGGTGTTTGGAGTCAAGGCAGGAAGAGGACGTGGGCTGGAGACTGTGGCCTGTTGTTTGGAAATGGCAGCAATGTTTTGGTGTCTTTATCTTCGAGTTTCTGAGTTTCTGTTCTTGGTTTCCACATGGTCTCTGTCAGTCTGTCTCTCTCTGCCTCCACCTCTCTGTGCCTCTAGAAGGTAACAGCGGGTCTCCACTCTGGCTAACTAAACAATCTGTCACTCTCTCTGCTGCCAGCCCAGTTGGAAGCCCCCCCCTTCTCAGCACCCAGCCCAGGCCCTCTGCCCCTGGCCCCCGAGGCCCTACTGCTTTTGTTTCCTAAGGCGGCTTCCCCTTTCTTCTTCCTCTTCACTCACCTCTCCTCAGCTCAGAGCCCATCTCCAATCTCATTACAGCCTCTTCCTAAATCTTCCCTCCCCCATCCATCTGTCTTCCCCAAAGCTCTGCTCTTTGTGTCCACCCATCTGTCACCACCAGTGCTGGGCCTACTCCCCTCCTGGCCACACCCGCCTGGCCTTTCTCCCCTTGGGCTCAGTTCCCTCTCCCCTCCCCTTCCTCCTTCAACCCTAGTAGGAATCCTGCTTCCTCTGTTTCCTTTACAATCTTGTTTTTTCTGAATATTCTCTCTCACCTCAGTTTTGAATTCCCTCTAGTATCTGAGCTCTCTTCATTGTGAGTTGGGGGAAGACAGTGAGGACTCTAGGGTTCCAGCCCCTAGCCCCTGAGCAGCCACCCATCTTGGGTGGAAGACGGTAATGTTGGCTCACAGTTGCGTCATCTCAGTTGAATGGCTTCTCCTTAGGCCCCCTGAGATGACTCTCTACTCTTACTCCATGTTTCCATGCTTGGGCTGGGGCTGCCCTGCCTTTCTCTACCTCATGAGTCTGGAGCTTCTCTAGCGTCTGAGTGTGAATTCATGAGAAATAAAAGTTCATCGGAAAGCCCATTGGGACCTTGACTTTCCAAAGGCCTCAGATTCCTCAGCCCACCTCCAGCCACCTACCAAGCTCCCCGACCACCGCTTCCTTCTTTTTTTCTTCCTTCCCTTCCTCCCTGCCTCTTCTTTCTTTCTTTCTTTTTTGAGGAAGTGATACTGACAGGATCTCTTTTATATTGTTATGCCACAGTCATCAAGTTTCTACTGTCCCTGGGTTAGGGGACAATAGTGTACCTTTCTAGAGTTGACCTTAGTGCTATCTTTGAGAGTTCATGAATCAATCAGCCTGTCAAATGGTCCCTACCCCGGGGAGCTTAGTGGGAAAGGGAGAAGAGAGAGAAGGCACAACCCCAGCTGTCCCTTCACAGAACCAGACTGAACACAGAGCCAGTGTGGACAACAGAGAATAGCTCCCTGTCAAAGTCTACACTCAACAAAGCAGGACACTGGGGCCCAGAGAGGGCAGTGCCCCTCCCAGGGTCACAAAGCATCAGCAGCAGACCTAAAAATCTGGTCCTGAACTCTTCCCATAACACGAAGTCCCTCTCATTGGTCCTGTGCCTGAAGCAAACCCACCATCCTCTGAACATTGAGAACTGGTTTAAGACATTGATCTGGTATGGAACATACACCACCTTGCTGGATTGGTTATCTTGTGTCATGTCTTTCCCTGCCATCTAAACTTTGAATCTGGAGTCTCAACACAAAGGAATCATATCTCTTACCCTGTTACAATTCTGAAACAGAGTGGCTTGCTTTTAGCCCTGCTCAATAAATGTCTATTACTGTTAAGGCTGTCAGTGCAGATAGATTTGTTCTAGTCTCACCTCAGCTTCTCATACCACATCACTCCTCTGGGCTAGTTTTCCTCATTTATCATATGAATTGAGCCACTGGGCATGGTTGTGCATGCTTGTAATTCCAGCACTCAAGAGACTGAGGCAGAGATGAGCATAGCCTAGGCTACTCGGCAAGAGCTTGTCTAAAAATTTAAAAAGACCATGTACATAATTTCTAAGGTCTTATAAATTATAAGTTCCCTCAATGTGGGAGATATAGTGTAGTGGAGGGCAATGGGAGAATGAGTTAGAATAAAGTATAATGATGCATATATATGAAAATGCCAAAATGAAACCCATTACTTTGTACACTAACTTAAAAAATTATTAAAAAATAATAAAGTTCCCTCAAAGACACAAAGTCCTACCAAGTAAGGTAGGATCTAAGTAGAGAGCACCAGAATGTAGGTTTAAAAAAATCTTGGGCCAGAGAGATGACTCAACTCAGTGGGTAAAAGTGCTTATCATATAAGCCTGACCACCTGAGCTCCAGCTCTGGATGCCATAGTGGAAAGCATTGACTTCCAGAAGTTGTCCTCTGATTACACGGCACATGTACATGACGGGCGCATAAACACACACACACACACACAAAATCTCCTTAGAATGTACTTTTGGATAGCAGTCCAGATGTTGAAAAGAGGAAACAGCAACTCCCCTGTACCCAAATAGACTGAGGACAGACACCAGCTGGAGGAAAGCCTTCAGTGTTCATCTTGAGGGATGAGGTGTCATACTAGGTAGAGAGGCTGGACACTGGGGCATGGATGGTCATTCATTCAACTTTCTGCAGATGTTGGAAGGGGTAATGTGAACCAGCAACGGTAGTGTGGTGTAGAGCAGGAGGGGACCCCTCAGGGAAGGGAAAGTAGCTAGAAAACAACACATTTCAGAAGGCACGGGGTAATTAAGACCTATATAGGGGACAGAGGAAAGCTGAATTGCAAAGTATATGACCCATAGGATGCTACAGGCAGATCTTCAGTGCACATGCAGTACCAAGTGAGGTGCCAGTACTCTGGTCTCAGAGAGGGAGAGTTGGGAGCCCCATGGATGGCTGTGCTATTTCCCCAGGCCCTGGCCTCTCCATGGAAAGGGCTGGGTTTTCTGGGGTTTTGTTTATAGAGGGGCCACATGGAGTAAGGAGCATGGAAGGCAGATGAACTTGTGTTCTGGATTCTTCCCTAGGCACAAGAGACATCTTTTCCCCTTTTTTACCCATCCTGATCCTTTCATTCTGCCCACATCTCTGCTTCTCTGTTTAGCCCCCTCCCTGGTACCCAGCCACATCCTCGCTTCCTGAAGCTGCCAGCAGGATGAGGGAGTTTACTGCTCTGTCCTCTGGGAGACCTGTTGGCCAAGGGAGGCATGGAGCCGGCCCAGATGATGGTGGCAGCTGTGCTCAGCTCCCGCCAGTGCCAGTGCAATGCACAGCTTCTGCTCCAACTGGGGGTTGGCGGGGAACAGCAGGGTATATTTTCTATCTCAGAACCCTAAACATGCCTCCTCGAGGGAACCTGGAGAGAAACCTGAAGAAAAATCATCTCCTCTCAACAGGATTCTAGAAAAAGTAAACAGCTCAACTAAAGAATTAAGGAGTGTTTAGAGCTGTGAAAATGGCCACTTTTCTATCTCTGCTGGTCTTCAGGCATGTGTGAGAAACAGCTCCTGGCCAGCACTGAGAAGGCTGGGCTTAGGCTTCCACCCCTGCTGGTTCTCTCCCCCCTCAGCTGACTCAGCTGCTGCCTACTTAGCTCTGTTGTACTCCACAGTGTTGCCTCCATGAGGACCCAGGAAATTAGTCTCCACAGAGCTGTGGTTCTTTCTCCAGCCTCATCTCCTCCAACTCACCCTCATGGCTCAGGCACACGGTCTGTGTCTTTGCCTATGTTTCCACATATGATGAACTCTTTAAACCTAACTCAGTCACCTTTCTTGTCCCAAGTCCCACCTGGAACATTCTGGATATTGTGATGCGTCTCTTTATTATACCAATTACCTGGTTGTAAGTCTGTCTTCTTCCCTCACCCCAACTGTGAGCTACTCAAGAGTAAGAGTTATCTGCTTCATCTCTGTACCCCAGCCACTGTTTAAACAAGATCTTACTTCTGGGCTCTTCTGGAGAGCAAGAAGATAGCATGCAGGGCAGCAATGTTACTGAGTTTCAGTCCAAGGTCACTGAACATAGTGATCTGGGAAGAATATTAAGTAACAAATACCAATTGTATGGGATAATTTTAATGAAACTTGCTATTTATATATTTACAAAAAAAAGGGGAAAAACTCCAACAAAAATAGATATTACAGCTTAATAAAAAGTACAACTGACCACTGTGGGCTAGAGGTGGGATACCCACCCAACAGCATGCCCACCCTATCGTGCCATCTGAGGACCCGGAGAAAGGACATTGGGAAAGAGACAGCTGGCTCAGCCAGAGAATCCATTCTTCTCCCTAGGGGTTTAGTGTAGTTTGATCCTGATGCTCAATCCTTCATGTCCTTCTTCCAGGTCCTGTGGTTGGGTAGAGGGGTGAGGATGGGGTGGCAGTGGGAGCAGAGAGAGGTAAAGGGCAGAATGGAAAGACAGGAGGTATCCTGAGGAAGAGCAGATGAGGGCGGGTAACTGGGGAGTTAAATGGGGGCAGAAGCTTCTAGCATAATTCCTGCTGTCTTGGGATAGAGAAAGGAAGAAGTGGGAAAGGGGGAACTGAGGAGGGGAGGCAACTTGTTTATTTTTCCATCTCCACTCAATAGTTCCATTCCATATGAAATCCCAGTCTAAGACAGGCCCAGAGAGACTCCAGTGACAAATTAGTGGTTTGTTCTCAGTGGGACAACTGATCTCGGAAGTGAAGTGCAGAGCTGGCAGGAAGAGCTGGAGTCCTGTTCAGTAAGACACGGCGCCTGGCTCTCGAGGAACAACAAAAAGGACATCCGCTTTGGCGTTGATGCAGTAAGTGACGATGAGAGAGAAGAGGAGGATGCCGAAGCCCACGACCAGGGTGATAAACTGCAAGGGGAAAGAGTGCGGGCAGGGAAGAGAAAAGTGTTCTTAGAACTCTGCAGTTTGGGCTTCTCGGTTTGGACACTGGAACTCCAGTGCTGGCTTCAAACACCAAGAACAAGCAACAACCATAGGCAATGTTTTCCCAGTTTTCAGACTCAGCTCTCCTCGGTGGAAGAGAGCAGTGTCTGTGCTCTTGCATCTAGCATTACTTATATTTAAATGTCTTGAAAGTAGACCCATGGCTTTGGTTCTCTGGTGGCACTTGTACATGACTTACTTATGACAGGTAAGTATTAGACTCCTCCCAGCGTTGCCAGATGGATGCTGGGCAGGAGTGGGAGCCATGGGAGACCTTCTAGAGTCCACAGGGCCCTCCCCAATAAGTATCACTACCAATAGGAGATGCTAGCACACCAGCCACAGATTTGCACTAGGTTTTTTATGGCAATCTGGGATAAATGGGGGACTGAGGGTGAATGGAGGAGGGTCTAAGGTAAGAATAATAAAAAGCCCAACAGAACTCTGCTACTCTCTTCCAGCCCTGCCTCACCTCAAGTTCTTTGCTGGCAATTAGGAATATCCGTGCTCTGATATCTTTCCAGCGGCTCTCAGTCCATGTAGAATATTCAGTGGAACTCCACTGACTCAGTTCAAAGGCAGGGGACAAGGCCCTGGCTAGTCGTGCTGTGGAGCGCACACACCGTGGGAGCCGTTCTGTCTCGTTGGAATTCAAAGGGCCTTGAACCCATGAGTATTCATATAGCTGCACATGAAGACAGGTCACACACAGGGCTGAGGTGATGCTCTTCTCACATACCTCCTTCTCATCAGCACCAGATTCCAATCAATTTCAACTGGGTGCCATCCCTTCACCCACAGGTGGCCTGTTTTCACTCAGGTTAGTGCTTCTTTAACAACACAGGTTCACTGTATCTCCATCCCCCCTCCACCTAGGAGAGTCTCCAATTTTTCCAAGGGAAAGAGGCCCCAGGACACCTCCGACACCCACCACCACTCACATCCTTGCTTTCATTTGGAACTTCACTTGGATCTTGACACTGCTCTCGAGTGAGGTCGGTCACTGTGCCAGTCAAATTTGCCAAGGCATACTGCACAACGTAAGTAGCGTTGGTGGGGCTGGATACAGCAATGTAATGTTGAAGAGGCCCATCACCTGATTGCAGGCCAAAAGGAAGGTCAGGTCAGGGTAAGAGTAGGCATAAATAGAAAGAACCCAACATTGGCAGGAGCCAGAAAAGAGAAAGTTAAGAGACAAGGATCCAGCAAGCGTCAAGAGGAAGAAAAATAGAAGAAAGGAAGCAGAGAGGAGAAAGGGAGAGAAAAAAGAATAAAGATTAAACCAAAATGATGCCTCTTTTTCTATACCTTTTGTCAGCTAGGGGTGCCCCTTCATACGATGCTTACCCAAATAAGCCCTTAAGTCCTGTCTGAGGATAGACTGGAACCAGGAGTTGTTGGCTCTAACCAGGAACCCATAGAGCAGGCGTGTAACCTAGCATTGGAACATTGTAAAGAGAAAAATGTTGTGATTTGCAGCAAGACAAGGAAAAGAATGAGCAGAGATCAGTCACAGGCAGGAACCAGCTTGGGGCTGGGAGACAGTGGCCTGTTCACAAGGACGTAGATGAAGCCCACTCAAGAACTCTCAAGGACATAATCCTCACAGACATAAATAGGCATGCTGAATTCCAAAGTTTAGGAAGTTGGTAAGGATCACAAAGAATGGGGGCAGCTTGTATAAACAAAGACCAGGGGCCCATCTGTTCCTACCGTTTGAGGATCAGCCTGAATTGAGCTGAAGTTGGTTCCTCCTGCAAGCTCATACAGTGCACGTCCCAGCACTGTGGCCACATCTGCCAGGGCCTGTAGCAGGTGAGGAAAGGGCTGAATGGCTCACCTTTGTCCTTGAGCCCTTCACTCTCACCATTTCGACTGTACTCCCCATGGTCCCACCCAGCCTGAATCAGTGCTACCTTGGCAGTGTCTGTCACATAGTTCAGGTCCTCTTCTGGGCTCTGCCATTCAGGATAGCTCACATTAATGTTCTCAGCAGTGTCATAAATGCTCTGGTAAAAGCTGCCAGAAAAGCCAGCATGAGTCCTGGCTATACCGAGCCAGGTCTTTGCCCTTTCCTGCTCAAACATCCCTTATGCAGGAACTTGGTACCTTATTTATATCATCCAGCTCCATTATATAAAAAGGCATTGATCATGGGGAAGTATGAATGAGGGTAGGCTAGTTAAAGAAATCTGAAGACTTTGCTGAGGGGCAGAGTGTAAAAGGTAAATAACTCTTAAGCACTGGAGACTCTTCTAATTATTTGGGCTGGAGACAAATGAGGCTGGCTAAGAGGCTTTTCAGGGACTTCCACACAGTCACTGCAATTGTATGAGCATTCCAATGAACATTTATAGTCCCAGAGGTTGGGCATAGAGGGGAAATGGTCAGGTACTAGGACCAGGACTGCTCAGAGATACATACAGATACACAGGATCAAATCACAGTGGTGGTCCCTGGGGAGCTCCAAGGAAACAAATTTTGAAAGAGGAGCACTCCAAACTTTCCTATTCAAATGCCCCTTACGCAGGAATAAATCACTGCTCCACAAAGAGCCAAGTCAGCCACATAATCAAGTCCAAGCAGGTTCAAATAGTGAGTCATCTCTCAAAAAAAAAAAATGACAAACTGGAAAGCTGATTCTAATCTGGAATTGTCACTCCCTTGAGTGAGTAAGAAAGTCTTTGGCTAGGGTCAGAGAACCAGAGTGTAAGCATTTTTACTCAAAAATTCATTTGCTCATTTTGCCCCAGGGAGACTGGAGAGGCAGCAACTCAGCACGAGAAGTCCCGTTATCCCAGGCTTCAAGCTAGGCAGAGCTTAACAGCATCCAGACTCAGGAAAGAGGTAACTAACAGTGCCTTCTTATCTTTGGAGTCTCCTCAGTGCTCAACCATGTGCACCTACCACACAGCATGAACATGTTACATTTCAAAGAGTATGAGCACTGTGTGTGGCTCCTCAGACAGGGACCATTCTGGTCCTCGAGTCCAGGAATTCCCATCTTCCCACACTTTTGATTGAGATGATGCCCTCTGCTGGCAGCCCTTGGGAACTCAGGTACCAGGAGAACCTGGGAGCAGAACCACAGCAGAAGATGATTGTGCTAGGAATGGCTAAAGGTAAGGACCAGGGGACCAGGCCTCCCGTGAACAGGCCACTAAACAAAGAACCCAAACTGCCTGGAGACTTTGGAGGTGTATGGGGTCTGGGGAGAGACAGCAATCCTCCTTCCAGACTGCAGAATAGACTGCCTTTGAGAACAAACAGGGTACAGAGCCAGGTGACTTACCGATTATTGAAGACACCTGAGTGATCAGCCAGAACAACACCAGAGATGTTTCGAACTCTAAGGAATCGCTGTAGAGAGGATGGTGGGAGGGGCTGGGACTGATTCTGTCTCTTGAGGACAACAGCAGGGATGTCAGCAGTGCTCCTCTCCAGTGTGGTCAGGAGATCCTCTACCTGAGGGGTGAGAGAGACTGACTGCTGGAAGGTGGGGAGGATTCTCTGGGGCCTGCAGGTTCCTTTACTGGGGGGAACTGCTGGCCCTATGTTCTCCTAGATCTGTATTCATCAAACCTATTGGGACCAAGATTCTCAGAATTTCCTACAGCTCCCACAGTTCTTTCTATTGATATGAATTAGGGCAGAGAAGAGGCCTAGTTTTTCCACATTTATAGATAAATGATGTTCTGGGGATTTTGCCTTGTCCTCAGTGGGTGTTTCACTTATCACTTATTGTGCAGAATTGGATGGGACCAATAACAATGGAATACCATATATGTAAGCAATCTGTAAGTGCTACAGGAGTCTAGAGAAGGGATGACAGCACAGGCTGGATGACAGCAAAAGCACTCTGAGGAGAAAAAGCAGGCCTATAGCTGCATTTGGTAGGGAGCAAAGATCTTAAATAAGCAGTGAAGAAAGTGGAGGGCAATTTAGGCAGCAGTCTGATGCAGAGACTCTGGCAAGGCCACCTTGATAACTGGGTCCACAGGACAAGAAGAAGAGAAGGCGCCAGGTACCCACCTGTCTCTAACGAGCAGTGGTAGTCTACAAGGTACTGCATGATCACAGAAATATGCATTCCAGGGAACCAACGGGATACCCACTGAGTTCAAGGTTCTCACAAAGCAGTAACGGCTGTGGCGTTAGCGTTATCTTTTAGCCAATATTCAATTTAATCCTTTCTCTTACTGAGTTACCTGGTTCCTCACAGACTCATTTTTCTGAGACATGGGATCTGTGTGCATCCAGAGGTCTAGTGAGGTTCTTAAGGCCACCTGGGGAAGGATGAAGAATAATTTATGGTCTGTCTCCTGCTGTGGCCCATGCCCAGAAGAAGAAACCAAGGGGATGGATGGTGTTGGTAGCAAAGGCAACAAAACGGGAAGCTTAAGTTCAAGAAGAGGGTGGAAGACATAAGCTGCACACCTGTCCCAGCTCCACAAACGAGTCAATGTTCTCTAGCCCCACAGGAAATATGCCCTTCTCCATATCATATACCATTCTTGAGCTGCCAATGTAGTCAAAGGTTTCCTGAGGGGTAGAGATGGGAAGGAAAGGGAAAAGAAATTTCCAAGGGTTAGGGCAGTCTCAAGGAAGGCTAGATCATCAAAGCCAAGAAGGCTGTTTTCCAGAGTCATCTCAACTGCTAGTCAGCTTACAGCCACATGACACCCCTCCCCCGACCCCTCCCACCTCCCCAACAACCTCCCAGCTGTGACTCCCTCACATGGATGTATCATGGGATTTCTGGAGCCCAGAAATAGGGAAGGTAGCCTTTGTAAGGGCCCACAGCAAACACCAGCTGTTCTGGATTTGCTTCTTGACTTTCCCCAGTAGCTCTAGCTGCTGATCCTCATGCTACAGCCAGGCTGTGGCACCACAGGGGAGAGAGAGACAGGATCCCTAGGGTAGCAGTAGGACTCAGACAGTAAAAGTGAAAGGAAGCCTCAAATACATCTTATCATTGAAGGAAGGAAAGGAGAGGTAACACATCAATTCAGAGGACAGAAGCTACCTAAAACAGAGGATTCCAAAGGGGAAGTACATGTAGACACATGCAAACACTCTGATTAGCAGCTCAGGTCAACAATGCCACTATCATTACCATCCCCTTCCCTCCCTCCCATCTCACCCTAGGGAAAGAGCCCTTACCCCCTGGAAGAAGACAAACATGACATTGCGGGGCAGGGTGGTCACATCAGGCGCCTTGTACAGAGCTTCAGCTGCAGCCAGCTGAGTGACAAAAGAAGCAACAGCACTCTCTGCCCCTGGTGCCACATTCCAGAAAAAGGACCTGCTATCCAGCTGGAAACACCAGAAGAAAAGGCAGGGGAGGTACATTTTAAAGCTGGACATTAGAACCAGGCCCAGCCTCCTTGTCCTGCTCCAACCAAGAGAATCCACATGTATTGAACAATGAACAGAGCCAAGGAGTCCCACGACCCAGCTCCCTCTCCATTTACGGCTCCCCAGTGTTGAGTCTGAAATCAGATACACCTGGGAGGAGAGCCCTGCCCATGCTGCACAGGGGCAACACTCACCCGGGTGGCAGCAACCACAACCTTGTCATCAGGTTCTAATGCCTTAGATGTGTTTATAGGTTTAAGCATGCCCCACACGTTGTAGTCAGACAAGGGGTCACAGACGATTTCTGAGGAGGACACAAACAATAAGCAATAAATAGGACTAAAGGAAGGGTATTGTAGAGAAGGCCTTCAAGCCCTCCCAGACTCGGCGCCCCATGAGCTCTGAGGACCACTTTTTCCACCTACAGCTACTCTAGCTTGGGCTCTGTCGCCATCCACTTATGGTGCAGTCTGCCGCCTATCTGTTCAAACCTGTTGGGACTTCTACCAGTGCTTGCTGCCTGGGCCCACTCCTCTGGCATGATCTTGCCAACGCCCTTGCTTAGTCCATCTCCCACTGCAGTCGGCCCGCATGGCTTGGCACTGCCTACCTGGGTTGATGCTAAAGGTGCTCTGGATGTAGCTGCGCCGCATGCAGGTGGCGGTGCTGAGAACAGCATGCATGTGCGAGAAGAGCTGCATGGCACACAGCGGGAAGCTTGGCGCAGAGCCATTCTGACCCAGGTTGTGATCTTGATAGCACTGGAGAGGACATGGACCCCATTGAGACAGCTAGCTGTGGAGGCCCTCTCTCAATTCCTAGGAAGAGGAAGGCCCAACTCCATTCTTAAGCCACTCCCTTTTTCCTGGTGGGTCCCTGAGCTACAAGTATCCTCATATGACCATATAAGATCAAAGGGAAAAATTCCTCAGTCAGTGTAAATGGCATGGACACAATGGCTTTGTTGGAGCAGATGAGCTAGTCTGGTTCAATTCCAACTGGTTGGACCCAAGCTTCAGCCACTGCCTTTTGGTTTTAGTTTTTGATAGGGTCTTGCTATACAGTCCACACTGGCCACAAACTCACAATCCTCCTATTTCAGCCTCCCTAGCACTGAAATTATAGATGTGTGCTATTATGTCTGGTTTCATACACTATTTTTAATGTGACCTGATATAGGGAACACTGACTAGGGATCAAAAGTAAGATTCAAGACAGCTTGGCCATCAACTCACCTTGCCATCTTGGACAAATCTTTTAACTGACCTTAAACTAAAGCAGCTAGACTAGATAGAAACAAAAGTCTTCAGTCATGGGTAAGAACCTGATGAGAAGAGCACTGGACCAGGCATAATGGTACTTGTATAATCCCAGGCTGAGGGAGGCGGATCACTGCACCACTTCCACTTCAGTACTTCTAACAGTCTATTGTTGCTGTTAAATTTTTAGGTTTATAGTCTGTCAGGCTTACAGACTTTCAGAGTAGTTAGTGGTCTTTCATCCCATAAAATAAATGTTCTGCTATAACTGAGTAGGTTCAGTGACCCCATCTCAAGGGAGTAAGGGGGAGAGTGATAGAGCAGGACATCTGACGTCTCCCTCTGGCTTCCACATATGTACCTGGGCACACATGTGCAATACACCATACAAACACAACATACATACACACAGAAGAACCTCAGGAATTTACTGAACTGAAGCCCCCAACTCCTAGTCCGCTACTGTTCTGTTCTGGTCTTGTTGAGACAAGGCCTCACTCTGGAGTCCAGGCTGGCCTAGAGCTATGGCCCAAGCTGTGGTGACCTCCTTGTTTCATATGCTTCTTCCACGTATTCTTTCTACCTCTATCCATCTCAAAGCTTTCAATGCAGTGATGTCCAACAGGAAGGAGATGGCAGAAGGAAACGTGAGCAACTTAACAATAAACTTCATTCCTGTTTTGTTTTTGAGACAGGGTCTTGCTATGTAGCTCCAGCTGGCTGGAACTATGAGACCAGCTTCACCTCAAATTGCTGGCAATCCTTCTGCCTCTACCTCCCAAGTGCTGGGATTCGGATGTGTGCCAACATACTTGGCCAAACTTCTCAGTTCTTTTGTAGAGGAATCATTTTTTACAGTGTACACTAGTAAAGCTAGCCTCCCTAATAGAACAAGAACATGAAAAAGTCATCCTCTTTCTCATGGGAACTTCCAGAATCTGGCAGAGTCAGTACCTGCTTGATGACCCTGGTTTCATTCTCATCTTCAAGAAGAAAGATAGGAAAACTGAAGTCTTCGTAAGCTAAGCCATTGCCCAGTTTGTTCCATTGCATGTTTTTGCAGTGAGCAAACTCTGAGCCATAGGAATTGGAGTAAATACCTGAAGGGAGAAAGGAAGGTATGGGGAACAAGTTGTTGAAATACCAAGCACTCAGGGACCAGGTGAAAGAGGAAGGGTAGGATGGCATAGTGTTGGGACTAAGAGTACAAAAAGAGGCAGTGACTTAAAGAAGCAGGTACAAATCTATCACCAGCCTCACTAAAATAGAGACACTGGTATCAGAGAACCCAGGGCTGAAGGATTAGGGATCTGAGCATGTGACAGAGGATGGTAGAAGGGGAGGGGAAGAAGAGGAAGTAGGAAGAGAAGTCAGTTGTTTACAATGCACACAGACATGCTCCCACTCCAACTGCCCCACCCTCATGGAGACCTAAGACTGAAGCAACAATGAGCTCTGCATGTCAGCAGCAGCTCTCCTGATCCTTTGAGGTCTTACCAAACCCATCATTTGGGCACTGCACACTAGGAGAGAAGCCTGAAATGGAACCGGGCTTGGCTAGAGTCACAGCAAGACCAGCAATTCGGCTAGTTCTCCCCTTCAGCTTTTCCATTATATCCCTGGAATAGAGAGAGTGACATGAAAGATGATGGAGAAGTGTAGACAGATCAGTGGCCTGCCCCTCAGGATGGAAACAATGGAAACAGAGTTAGGGGAATCAGAACTACCTCCCTTCCCTTTTGGGCCTCTAACTTTTGAGTCTGGACTATATCTGGGTCTAGGGTCTCATCTACTTGTCCCTGAGTGATCTTAGACACCCCTCCTTCTTCCCTTTGGCCTTACTAGAGCTCTACTTTGTTGTTTTCTGTTTGTGTTTTTGAGCCAGGGGCTCACTCTGTACCCCTGGCTGGCCTTGAACTCACAAAGACTCACCTGCCTCTGCCTCTGCCTCCTAAGTGCTGGAGTTAAAGGCATGCACATCCAGGCCTGGCTTCGGGCTCTACTTTTAAAGTCACTAAGGTAATTCCCTTTGATGGTATCTCTTCCTTTGTGAATACCCATCGTGTTGTCGCCCGACCTCCCAGGATAAAGCAAGGAAATTTTCCACTCACAAATATAAGGACTGTTAACCAAAACTTTCTCTAGATACAATCCCAGCAGGCACACCCAATTCTTACCTGGTAAAGAGCTTGCCCTCTAGTAGAACCATGTAAGGGGGGTTGGGGCCATCTGTCAATACCCACTGCAGGTCTTCTTCTCTCTCCACTACGTGGATAACCCCTGTGTCCCCGCTAATTGAAGCTGCCAGGACAGAATGGGTCAAATTAAAACTCCCACAGTTGACAATTTTGCCTTTGCTTCACTGACTCTCTGGATTTTTTTTTTTTTTCTGACTTTTTTGAGACAGGTCTCCCTGTAGCCCCAGCTGGCCTGGAGCTCACTATGTAGACCAGGCAGGGCTTGAACTCACAGAGATCCACCTGCCTTTGCCTCCCAAGTGCTGGGACTAACAGCATGTGCCACCATGTCCAGCTTCACTGTGGATCTTTTTTTAGATAGCGTCTATGTACCCCTGCTAGCTCTTCAAAAACCCAGGTAGATTCCCTTGGCTTCAGTTGCCTTCTTGGATCACCATCCTGTGGTCTTATTTGGGAATGACTCTATTTGCTCCTGGCCAGTTTCAGGTGACTCAGTTATAGGTGATTTTAATCAAGAAGCTGAGAAATCTAGAGCAGAGCTTCCCAACTGACAGGCCTTGAGTGGATCAGAGATGTGCTAATAATCACTGCCCCTCCTTCCTGGGACCCTCTTGGCCAACTACAGCAAGGAATAGACAGACCATTATTTATCGCAGGAAGGCCTACAAGTAATATTTATTTCTATGCATCTCAGGTGACTAAGACTAGGAAATACTGCTGAACAGTCCAGAATGTCTAGAATTGGACATAATTCAAGGCATTTGGTTATATCCCTCATGTCTCTAGGCATCCATACAGAGACATCCTAGCATCTTCCTGTACATTTTCTCCTCACTGAAGATCGGATGTTATACATAACTTATTTTAGATACTAGTTTCCAACACTGTGTATTAAAATCAGAATCAAGGGCTTTCTCTCTCCCTTCCCTGCCCCCCTCTCTTTGTGCCAGGGATTGAATTGAACGCCTAATTGTACAAGAAACATGCACTCTATTAATGAGCTCCACTCCCAGCCCCTGAATTTTAAAAAAGAATACAGATGCTTAGGCCCCACCATAGATCTTCTAAATTAAAACACTTCAGGTGGGGCCCAGATAGACGTATATTTTAAAGACACCCTGTGTAGTTCTTTACTCTACATAGCCAGACACGAGAACTGTGCTTCGAGACCAAAGCACTGAAATAAAAGTAATACTAGCAAAAGATAAAAAACATAAGCACTTCCCAACTGCTAACCAAGCAAAATTTTGAGAGCTGATAAAATGCAGACACAATGGCAGAGTCTCCAACACTTACCTATGGCTTATATACAGTAAATACTTATCAAGATCATGTCCACAGTAATAATAATAAAACACAGAGAACTATCAGAGTCTGGAACAGCTCTAGTCAGGATCCAGATGCCAATGGAAGCTTTCAATAAACAACAATAGAAAAGAACAGCCCTTGCTATAGATCTTAAAATATGGGAGAAGGAACTGGGTGTGGAGGCACATGCCTTTAATTCCAGCACATAGAAGGCATAGATAGAGCCCTGGGCCCAGGCCTAGGACTTTGTCTCAACAAAGGGCGGGGGGTGGAGGGAGTCGGGAGGAGACGGGGAGAACCACAAGAAAAAACTAGTATGATTTTTTTTTTTTAAGTAACTTACACTCTAGGAAGGACAGGGAAGAAAACAAGCTATGATACTGGATGAAAGAAACCTAGATTCCAGTCTGGGTCCTAACAAGTGACTGTACAGTTGTAAATAACTTGCTTACTCTCTCTGGACCTTCAGCAGGTCACCCTGACTCATCTCACACAGTGAGGATGGGGGGAGAAGTTATATGTAGCTCTCTTTGCTCACTAAGGATCCAATAGAAGTAGGTCATTATAACCAGAAAATAAAATCTAGATCTCAATTTTCCCCCTTAGTTTTACTATGTTACCACCCCTAATTAAAAAGGGTGTTGCCTGTGAAGGAATGGACAGATCTGATGAAGTAAGATTTAGAAATAAGGAGGTTGTAAAGGAAACAAGATCTTAATGAGGAAATGGCCAGAGTCCAGCCCCTCCCCTTTCTGTGCACTGGCATTTGGCTTTATCTCTGGAGGCTATGGCTTAGCTTCCCACGGGGTTGATTGAAGCACCTATAGCAGAATGACTCATCTCCAAACGTAGAACCCAGCTCCAGGATGATGTGGGACCTCACAATGAGGCTCTAACAGGTCCAGCAGTCTGATCTCAGCCCATCTGGACCTGGTTCTCTTTCATCCACAAACTCAGTTTAGAAGCTAAATCCAAAACACCTTTAAGATAGTTTGTAACCAATAAATCTACTTGCAGTGCTTCCTGTATCAGGGGCATAGGAAGAACAGGTAGGAAAGTATTAACTACTTCCTTAAGCAAATCTCTTACTTCCCAGTACCTGAGTTTCCTTCTACCAAGTTGGAAGGTTTGAGGGGCTCACATGGTACTACTTAAGACTATGTTATCTATTCTGCATCAACAATAAGCATTTATTTTAAGTCTTTGAAGTTGGGTTGGTTTGTGTTTATAATCTCAGCATCAGGGAGCCTGAGGCAAGAAGATCACAAGTTCAAGACCAGCCTGGGCTATAAAGAGTTCAAGGCCATGGGGAGATGACTTGATGGTTAAGAGCACGGACTACTCTTAAAAAAAAAAAAAAAAAAAAAATTTGTTATTTTTATTTTATGTGTATGAGTGTATTGCCTATGAGTGCACCCTTATCGTGCAATGCCACAGAAGTCAGATTGGATTCCCCTGGAACTGGTGTTACAGACAGTTCTTAGCCACCATGTGGGTATTGGGAATTGAGCCCGGGTCCTCTGCACTCTCTTAACTGCTGTGCCACCTCTCCAGCCTTAGCATGTACTACTCTTGAAGATGAACAGAGTTTGATCGCCAGCACCCATGCTGGGCAACTCAAAACTGTTCCTAACTCCAGCTCTAGGAGGATGTCATGACTATGGTCTCTGCGGGCACCCGCATTCACATGCACATAACCACACACATATAATTAAAAACTAAAAATATTTTTAAAAAAAAGAGTTCAAGGCCAGCCTGGGCTACAGAATGGGAAAGGGAGGAAGGGAGGAAAAAAAAAGAGGGGGGAGGGGGAAGATGGGGAGAAGGGGCAGAGGAGGAGAGAGAGAGAGAGACAAAGAGAGAGTTTGACTTTCATCGTTGTGTATCAGTATTCTAACCATTATTGAAAGGACAAACTAAGCCAGGCATGGTGGTGCATTCCTTTAATCCTAGCACTCAGGAGGAAGAGGCAGGCAGATTTCTGTGAGTTCAAGGTCAGCCTGGTCTACATAGTGAGTTCCAAGTCAGCTGGGGCTACAAGAAGACCTTGTCTCAAAAATACCAAAAAAAGCCAGGTGTGGTGGCACACACTTTTAATCCTGGCACTTGGGAGGCAAAAGCAGGCAGATCTCTGTGAGTCCAAGGCCAGCCTGGTCTACCTAGTGAGTTCCAGGACAGCTGGGGCTACAGGGAGACCCTGTCTCAAAAAGACCAAAAAAAACTGATACAAAGTAAAGATATGTACCACATATCAAGTGGAAAAAGGAAGGAATGGAAGGGAGGGCTAAACTAAAATTCAGAACAATTAATTTGATGAAGCCAAGATCAGACCCTTCTTATCTGAAAATTATAGTTTGGCTGAGCTATTGTCCACAGAAGACAAAAATATGCTGATAGCTTAAGCAGAAAACAAGCCAGGACTCAGTCTTCAGATCATAACTCTGCTTGCTATGATTTTTTAGTTTGTTTTTTTTTTAATGTGTGTAGTACCAGAGATCAAGTTCAGAGCCTTATGCATATTAGACAAGTACTCTACCACTGAGCTATATCTCCTGCAATTTCTATAGAACCATAGTAATGGGGCTAGAGGTGGTTCAGTGGTTAAGAGCACCAGCTGCCCTTGCAGAGAACCTGAGTCCGTTCCCAGCACCAACATGGCAGCTAACATTCATCTCTAACTCCAGTTCCAGGGATCTGATGTCCTCTTCAGGCCTCTGCAGGCACTGCACACATGTGGAGCACACATGTAGGCAAAATATTTAGACACACAGAAAATAAAATAACAAAAAATTTCTTTAGAACCATAGTATTATTTTGGAACATACTTAGAAAGCTTGAAGATAAGTCAAGTACTTCATTAATTTCTCTTGCAACTATTTAGCTTTATTGGGGGGTGGGATGGACAACAGAGTCTCTAGCCCAGGCTTTAGCTACCCACCTTCTGAGTACTGAGATTACAAGCAAATACCATGATGCCCAGTTTATATGATGCTGCAGACTGAAACCAGGGCTTCATGCATGCAAGCATGCACTCAACTCATGAGCTATATCCCCATCCCTTATTTGGCATTTGTGTGTGTGTGTATATTCATGTGTGTGAATGTTAACACCCAAATGCCATTTGTGTGTGTATGTTCATGTATGTGAATGTCAACACCCAAATGCCATTGTGTATCTGGAAGTCAGAGGGCAACCTCAGGTATTGGTCCTTACCTTCTACCTTTGAAACAGAATCTCTTTGTTGTTTTTCTGATGCATACACCAGACTAGTTGCCTTGTAAGCTAGATTCTTCTGTCTCTGTCTCCAATTTCCCCATGGAAACACCAGGATTACAGATGATCACACTGTGCTTCTAGCATTTTTTTAAAAACTTGATTTCTGGGGCTGGAGAGATGGCTCAGTGGTTAAGAGCACTGAATGCTCTCGCAGAGGACCCAGGTTCAATTCCCAGCACCCACATGGCAGCTAAGAATCGTCCTTAAGTCCAGTTCCAGGGGAATCTGAAGCCCTCTTCTGACCTCTGAGACATTGCACGACACGGGTGCACTCACATACATGCAACACATTCATACACATAAAATAAAAATTTTTTTTTAATTTTTAAAAATTGATTTCTGTGTGTGTGTGTGTGTGTGTGTCTGTGTGTACGTGCACTTGAGTGTGGGTCTCTGCAGATGCTAGAAAAGGGTGTTACATCCCCCAGAGTTGGAGTTACAGGCAGTAGTAAGCCACCTGATATGCGAGCTAGAAATAAAACTTGGGTCTTCTGGAAGGGCAGCAAGTACACTTAACCACTGAGCCATCTCTAGCATTTTTTACACGGGTTCTAGGAATTCAAATTCAGGTCCTCAAGCTTGTGCAACAGGGTTCTACCCACTGAGCCATCTTATTTGCCATTTTTAATAGCCTTTTCTTCAACTAGCTCACTGCCCTTGAGAAGCTGTTTTGGGGACCGGGGATGCTAGCTCAGTGGTAGGGATTCAATAGCCAGTATCATACAAACACAAAAGTTTTAGCTAGAATGGTGGCATGTGCTCAGAACTCAGAAGGCTGAAGCCAGCCTGGGGTACATAGCAAGATTCTGTCTCGAAAAACAAAAACAAAATCAACCATTTAGGTTCTAAAAAGGTAATTCAAAGTGTTCAGAGTGACAGCTGACAAGACTCCATAGAATGTGGGAATTCTTTCTCCTTAGAGAGCTGTATAGTAGGATACTTTAAAAGTCCTGGTTTAGGCCAGCCAGGTGTGGTGACACATGCCTTTAATTCCAGCACTTGGGAGGCAGAGGCAGGCGGCTCTCTGTGAGTTCTAGGCCAGCTTGGTCTACAAAGTGAGTTCTTCCCTGGGGCTACAGGGAGACCGTGTCTCAAAAAGGCCAAAAAAAAAAAAAAAAAAAAAAGTCCTGGCTTAGAATTTAGACCATCAGGGTTCAAATCCTAGCATGATCACTTGTTGCCAGTATAATGCCAGGAAAGTCAAACAATTTCTCTAGGTTTTAGTTCCATCAGTTATACAATGTTAATAATAACAATGATAAGCACATATTTAAAAGCTTAGTATGGTGCATTTGCTAAATGTTAGCTCTTATTATCTTGCCTTATTGTCAGTGACAGATGATTCTCTATCACTTCCTACACGCATACCCTCACTTGAGCACTAAGACTCCTAAGCAGGACATGGATATCTCTAAGTACATAGGGTACAAACTGAAATATTAATGGTCACAAGCACAAATCCCAATCTCAACTTACACTGGCAGCCAATCTGATGAGTGGCATTGAGCAGACGGACACAGGGAGCTGTTTTATTTAAGGGGATGTAGATCTTCCTCTCCACTGAGTTTCCCCAACACAAACCTGATCAGAAGATAGAAAGTGTTAGGAAAAATGGAAAAACATCTAGTACTAACCTCTATCACCATTAGTTCTATTCATAGTTTGGGTAAATCATTCAATACCATACTTTCTAAAAAGGAACTAATGTTCATTCTTTTCACTTCCGGGCCACATTATTGGAACAGATAAGTGCTCTATAGAGTACCTAGCTATGTGTCTTGGAAGGGTATTAAATTCCATGAACAACAATTGCCAATAAAGCTAAAAGATGAGCTGTCAAAAGAAAAGTGTTTGATTTTAGACGTGCCAGCTTCTGGTTGCATGGGTAAACACACTTTTGCTTTTCTAACACATATGTATACCACTAGTTGATAAAAGAGTGTAGATCTAAGAATAGAAAATAACAACAAAAAGTCCCACCTGAGAATCTTAACAGAGCTAGGAGAAACCTTATGCCACACACACCTGTTCAGTTAAATCAAACCCTAGATCGTTTGCATCTGCCTCCAGTGCCAGCCAGCTAGTTTCTCCACTGGGGATTACCAAAAACAATGTCAATTTAGGGGTTACAGGAATGTTCGCATTTTAGGGTTTAATCAACTAGAATGCCATATACATATAAGAAATCGCCTAACTGCTTATTCCTTAGTTGAACAGACACAAAAATCCACTAAATAAATATATTTTTAAAAGCAAACATATACATTATACGCCTAAAATTCTTTGTACCATTACTTTACGTCTAAACAGCCCAAGCCCACCTTAGCCGCACTTTTACTAAGCAAAGAAACTAAGGAACACGAGTTAATGGTAGAACCAACAGAGGAAAGACTGAAGACTTTCCTTTTCAGCACCGCACAGCACCCACAAAACAATGCTATTTTGATCTCAAAAATCCTAAACTCGGGGAAGGAGGCTCAACTTTCACACCTGTGTCTTTGACTGTGGGCGGGGTGGCTGGGGCTTCAGAGAAAAAGGAGGCATCAGGACAAAGTGGGAGAGAATCAGGTTGGAAATCCAAGCAAAGGCCAGAAGGGAAGTAAGCGAAACGACATGCTCGGGGTAGAAGAAATGAAGGTTCAGGCGAAGGGGGAACTTCTGTCGTGGGAACGAAAGAGAAGGATTTATAGGGCGGGGGGACAGAGGGGCAGAAGGGACCAGAAGGGAAACGCCTGCAATTGCGATGGGCCGATCCGGAAGGTTCCCTTTCCAGAGCAAACCTCGGGGGTGGGTGGCCTCACCTGCTAACATCACGGACAAAGACAAAAAGCGGAGCAGACCCCAGCGTCCCGGGCCAGGCCCAGAGCCGCCCCCAGCCGTGGCCATCTTGCTTTCCCACCGAGCGGAAGCCTAGGTTCCCCTCCAGACTCGTATCGGCCTTTCTAGGCTGCACTAACACCTTCTCTGTGGCCCTGCGCTCCGAAGACCGGAAGTTCGTGTTTGAGGAACTTCCGGAAGCCACGGCCCAGGGTAGCTGACGTGGAGGCCTTGGAAGGAGTACCAAGAGCTGCGGGACCGGGAATCTGACCTGGGAGCCGGAGGCCTGAAGGATGCTCACCAAATTCGAGACCAAGAGCGCGCGGGTGAAAGGTAATGCAGAAAAGGGAGCATGGAAGTTGGATGTTAGGGGCAGTGCTCTTACGGTGGAGGAGAGAATGGAAGGACTGGTTGACCGATGTGGCCCGGTGGACTAACGCAGAGGAAAACCGTGGGGAGGAGGGCTAGGGTTAGCGGCGCCTCCGCGCTCCTTCGTGTGGTCCTGGGGCTTGGATTTGCCTAGAAAGCAGTATCTCCACCGTAGGGAGTCCCTTAGGCCCCTTCCGATTCTTTGCCTTCTCCTCCTCTTCTGCGCGCCGTGCCCGGACTTTTATTCTATTCCCAAGGCCCTGTGACGTCCAGACTTTTTGATGATCGTGTTATATGGAGCAGCCCTGGAGACTGAGTCTCAGGCACAGGCTACTTCACGAAGTTCGAATGCCTTTCTGCACCATCTTAATGTCCAGTGCTTCCACTGAGCTTTATTGCCTGCTTGGAAATAGGGCATGAAGGCTTGAAGCCCCAGTAACGTCCTGAGTTTAGTAGGGTTGCCGATGAAATACAAGACACCCTATATTAGATTTGACTTTCAGATAAACGATTAATTTTTTTGGCAATAATTTTTGAAGAATAAATAACTGAGATAATAATAGTGTTTCAGAATGTCAGAATTAGAAAAGCAAAGCATTAAGTCTATTGAAACCTGGAAAAGTTTATTTTGAATATTTCATAGTATACAATATAGGGAAGTGGTCTGGATCTTGTTCTTTGTAGTCGTGTGGGCTTGCTTTGGAATTCTGAAACATCCACTATCAAGCTATATGGTCTTAAGCAATTTAACTTTATATCTAGATCTCTGTATTCTTTATTATTTATTTTATGTGTACGAGTATATTGCCTGCATGTATGTATGTGCACCGGTGTCATGCAATATCCAAGGAGGTCAGAAGAGAGTGTCAGATCCCCTGGAACTGGAGTTTCAGTCAGTTGTCAGCCACCATGTGTATGCTGGGAATCGAACCCCAGTCCTCTGCAAAAGCAGTCAGTCCTCTTAACTTCTGAGCTGTCTCTCAAGCCCCCAATCTCTATATTCCTATCTTTAAGAATAAGAGTAATTAGCATTCTTTTATACAGAGAATTAAGATGAGAAAGTATATTAAATGTGCTTATAATGATACTTGGCCAGACTCAATAGTTCAGAAACTGGAGGCCATTATTAATATGAGGATATATTCTGAGCAGTTTCTTTTTTTAAAATTTTATTTATTATTTTTATTTTACGTGTATGCATGTATTGCCTGCATGTAAGTAAGTGCACCCGTGTTGTGCAGTGCCCGCGGAGGTCAGAAGAGGCTGTTGGATCCCCTGGGACTGGAGTTACAGACAGTTGTTAGCTGCCATGTGGGTGCTGGGATTCGAACACAGGTCTTCTGCAAGAACAACCAGTGTTCTTAACCACTGAACCATCTCTCCAGCCCCCTCTGAGCAGTTTCTAAGTCGTGGGAAACTTGATTGTAGAGGGGACCATTAAGAATTTCTGGGACTGGGGCCTGGAGAGATGACTCAGTGGTTAAGAGCACTGACTGCTCTTGCAGAGGTCCCAGGTTGGGTTCCCAACACCCACATAGCAACCATAACTCCAGTTCCAGGAGCTCAAATACTCCGAGGGCATTGCATGCACATGGTGCACCTATATATATGCAAGTAAAACATTCATACATACACATTTTGAAAACAAACAGAAAGAGAAAAAAGAAAGAATGAATTTCTGGGACTGTAGAGATGGCTCAGTGGTTAAGAACACTGTTTTTACAGAGGACCCGGGTTCAATTCCCAGCACCCACATGGCAGCTATGGATTCCAGGGGAATCCACAGCCCTTTTCTGAACTCCGCGGCATTGCATGACACAGGTGCACTCACATACATGCAGGCAATATACTCATATGCATAAAACAAAAGTAATAAATAAAATATTTTTTAAAATAATTAAAGAAGCTGGGCAGGGTGGTGTACGCCTTTAATCCCAGCACTCGGGAGGCAGAGGCAGGCGGATCTCTTTGAGTTCGAGCCCAGCCTGGTCTCCATAGTGAATTCAGGACAGCTGGGGCTACAGGGAGATCCTATCTCAAAAAGATCTAAAAAAATTAATAAATAAATAAGTAAATAAATAAATAAATAAATATTTTTTGGTATTTGGATAGTTGAAATGAGTCTTCATTTTCCATGAGTTCTTTTCTAATTTCTTCTTTGACAGTAGAAAGTGGGGGGGAAATATAGCACTTGAGAGTTCATTAAGAGTATTGAGTTGGAAAAAAAGAAAGAATACTGATTTAGGCTTGGTGACTCCTGCTGAGGCAGGAATCTGCTGCAAATTTGAGGCCAGCTAGCATGGGCTATATAGTGAGATCTATTTTTTTTAAAAAAAGTATTAGCTGGGTATAGTGGTGCACGCCTTTAATCCCAGCACTCAGAAGGCAGAGGCCAATGGATCTCTGTGAGTTGAAGGCCAGCCTAGTCTACATAGCGAGTTCCAGGCCAGCTGGGGCTATAGGGAGACACTGTCTCAAAAAGACAAAAAGCAAAGTGTTACCAGTATATCAAAAAAATTTTAAGCCATGCAAAATAGATGCCTTCATAAACCTGATGAAAAAACATATTCATACAGTGTTTTTACAATTATAGTTAAATACCTACCAGAGTTGGTGTAGTGATTCACACCTATAATCCCAGTACATTGGATGCTGAGGCAAAAGAGTGGCTGCTAGTTTGCAACCAGCCTAGACTATAGAGTGAGACCTTTAAAATACCTAAAAGGACTAGGTGGGTACTCAGGAAGCAGAGGTAGGCAGATCTCTGTGAGTTTGATACTAACATGATCTACATATGGAGTTCTAGGCCAGCCAGGGCTATCTAGTGAGACTTTGTCTCAAAAAATCCGAAACAAAGCTCTTATACCAAAACATTAAATGTACGTGTTTTGGGTTGGTGAAGTGACTCAGTGGGTAAAAGGGTCTGCCACCAAGACTTGATGAGCTGAATTTGATGCCTAGGACCCACATGGTAGGAGAGAACTGATTCCCACACACATATGCTGTGGCATGTGTACATGCATGCAGACACATACACTCACAAATAAATGTAATAAAAACATTTTTTAAATGTATAGGTTCTATCCGGGCATGGTGGCACATGCCTTTAATCCCAGCACTAGGGAGGTAGAGGCAGGCGGATCTCTGTGAGTTCAAGGCCACCCTGGTCTACATAGTGAGTTCCAAGACAGTTGGGGCTACAGAGAGACCCTGTCTCAAAAAGACCAAAAAAAAAAAAAATGTGTAGGTTCTACTCTGTAGCCATCCCACTTTCAGGTCTTTAACCTAAAACACTATGAGGGTAAACAAGCCTACATTGTAGGTAGAAGTGTCTTCAGTAAGCCTTTCTGATAGCCAGAAACTAGAGGGAAAATTTAAATGCTTTCTCAGAGTACTTTATTTTTTTAAGATAGGCTCTCACTATGTGGCCGGGCCGACCTGGAACTCACAGAAATCCTCCTGCCTTTGCCTCCCAAGTGCTGGAATTAAAGGCTTGTACCACCATGGATGGCATAATTTTTGTTTTTAAAGACATTGTCTCATTATAGCTCAGGTAGGCCTCAAACTTACATGCTTCTGTCTTAGCCTCCAAGACGTTGAGATTACAGGTGTGTAGCACCATGTCCACCTTTTGTGTCTATGTGCTGGTGACCAAACCCAGAACTGAGCAAGCCAGCCCTTTCTCATTGAGGCAAATTCCCAATTCAAAACTAGATTTAAAAGTGTGGTGGACTAGAGGGATGGCTCAGTGGGTAAAAGGTACTTACCACCAAGCCTGACTACCTGAGTTCAATCCCTAGGACCTACATGGTAGAAGGAGAGAATTGACACCTGCAAATTGTTCTCTTACCTCCACTTATGCACCATGGCAAATATGCACTCACATTTACCTCAATACATAAATAAATTAATATTTAAAAATTTAAGTGTGGTACCTTTGTTCCTTACAGTTGTTAAAAGGAGTAAGAGTCCACTAACTTAAATATAAAGAGATTCGTGTCATATGTGAGAAAAGTTTGCAGAACAACATGTGAGCCCCATTTTCATAAAATAATAAGGCCTGTGTTTATATATTACTGCGTTAAAAAATCTGAAGGAGCATGCCAGTTACCAGTTCTTTCTTCTGGGTATTTCTTTTTATGATCATGATGGAATAACAAGGACTAGCTTTTCTTTCCCTCCTTAAATTGCTGGATAACTACACAAAAATACAAAGGTTTTCAGACATTGGCCAACAGAGAGTGCAGAACAGTGTTTCTTTAGGGAAGGAAAATAGTGTGAGTCCTGTGGTTTATATTACTGTTTAGAGTTTCCAGGCTGCAGTGAAAGAAGGAAGAGCCCTACAGTCTGGCCAGGGAGACAGAGTTCAGCATTTGGTGCAACAAATAGGGCTAAAATATGCTGGAGAAAATACTGGGAGAGAGGGAGTTACACAAAGAGCATAGGCAGTCTGTAAGGGTTCCCTGGGTTTTTGTCTGGGTATTGATATGCACATGCATGAGACAAAGCTATCCAAAATTTAGAAAAGAACAATTAAGAGATATCTGTGGTGGTATATACCTATATTCCTAGCACTTAGGAGGCTGAGACTGGAGGATTGTGGTTTTGAGGCCAGCATGGACTACCTTAAAGATCTGTCTTTAAATAAAAGGAAAAGAGGGACTGGAGAGATGGCTCAGCAGTTAAGAGCACTGGCTGTTCTTCCAGAGGACCTGGGTTTGATTCCCAGCACCCACGTGGCGACCAACAACCG